TCATAGAACAGCAAGCAGAGATGATTCTGACAGACCATTCTGGCCATGAAGGGCATCATTCCAAGAGCTGATGAGACTATCAACAATAGAGCCCTGGCGCCTTCCAATAAGAGCATACCTTCTCTCCCAGGGGTCGATAGTTACATCTATGACCAGAATCACTAACCCTCACAGCCTGAAAATTGAGCACAATCTGCTTTCAGAGATAGTGTACCCTGAAGGGGTCATTAACACCATGCTGGCCTCCAGGAAAAGTTCCACCTCCAGAGTTTATAACACTATCTGGCAGATTTTCCATTCCTGGTGTGTGGATAAGGGTTGGGAGCCCCTGTCAGTGCCCATTAGCACTGGTATCCTATCTTTCCTTCAGGATGGGCTGGAAAAGTACCAGCTCAATTAGGCATCAGGTGGCGGCCATTTCAGCTATAAGGGTAGGAGGAAAGGTAAATCATTGAGTCAACACCATTACATCAAAAGTTTTTTGAAGGGGGCTGCCCTTATAAATCCCCCACAGGTACATCATTTCCCCACCTGGAACCTCAGTCTGATGTTGAGAGCATTGTCATGGGGTCCCTTTGAACCTATGACTTCATGTCCTCTTAAAGAGTTAATGTTCAAAACCATTTTTCTGGTGGGGATCAGTTCGGCAAGGCGGGTATCAGAGTTGAGAGCACTGTCCATAGATAAGGAACTCTGTGTGTTCCACAGTGATAGAGTGGTGCTGCGCCCCAACCCAGCCTCTGTTCCTAAGGTGAATTCAACCTTTCATAGGACAGAAGATATAGTTTTACCCAGTTTCTGCCCAAACCCGAAACATGACAGGGAAAGGGAGTGGCGTTGCCTAGATGTCCATAAGCTTCTATCTGGATAGGACCAAACCTTTCCGTAAATCTGATGCTCTCTTTGTATCAGAAGGTTTCAACATCCACCTTGAGTAGATGGATTCGGGGGTGCATCACTCTGGCGTATTAGGCCATGGGCCTGGATCCACCCCAGGGAATCACTCCTCACTCCTTGAGAGGGACAGCAACATTGGTAGCCTACAGGTCTTTTCCATCGCTAGAGACGGTATGTAAAGTGGCGACCTGAAAGTTACTGAATTAATTCACCAGACATTATAGAATTGACAAAATGGCTTCCGCAGATGCAGCCTTTGGCAGGGGGTTTCTGCAGCACACCCTCCAAGTTCTGAAGTCCATAGCCCACCCTGGGGCACACTGCTTGTTACATCCCATTAGTGCAGACTGCCCCACTCACAAGGACCACCAGAGAATGGAAGACTTGTCTTCACTTACCATGAAGCTTCTTTCTTGGTGGTCCTGGAGTGGGGCAGTCCTACCCACCCAAGAGTTTTCTCTTGGAACGGCTTCTAAAGCTGAAGAGGGCTTTACTCCAGTAGTTCAGGACTGGGAGGGTATGGAATTCTTCCCAGAAGCTGTTGTGAGTTTCCATGTTACAAAAGAAAATGGAAATTCTAATCAGTTACTGGCATTTGATTACTGTGCTCACTGGTTAATTCTTCATGGGAGTTCACATGTTTTGGAAGCGGAGGTTTTTCCTTCCTTTTCTTCATATGTGAGAACTGTCAGCGGGAGGCACGGCTTGGAAACAGACTGCGGATCCTTGGATAAGTTCCTCCCCTCTGGGATCGAATTTGGCCAATTGACTCTGCTTCCGTGGAGGAGGAGCCCCACCCCAGGACTACCGAGACAGAAGCTTCATGGTAAGTGAAGACCAATCTTCCGTTTTAAGCTAAAAATGCCAGACAGTACATATAGCCTCTGCTGCTAATCTATAGTACTGCAGACAGTATCTGTATTGTGAAGTAAACTAGTTTAAAATCTGGTTCATGTTTTAGATAAGTTCAAACATGAATACATTCATCTGGTTTATATGGAATCAAGTCATTGGTCTATCAAGGACTGTACTGTCTGCTCTGAATGGCAGCAGCTGTAGAGGTCTTTCATATCACCTACTCCCTGATTTTTTTCCCATTTGTTCCTGACAATTGAAACTGGGACATTCGGCATGCAAGCAGATCCCCTTTCCATGCATAAATCTGATTTCACATCTTACATCAGCAGGGCAACACTTGCAGTACTCTTTTCATGTAGCTTCTGAAGGCATCCTTAGAAAAATAAGAAATCACAAAACACCCAACCTTCACTTTCTCCTCTTCTCCATTCCATTCTCCCCCCGCACCTCTGACTGATTTATGAACTGCTGCTGTATTATCATTAATGACACTTCATTTAGACTACTGCTGGGCACAGTGGCAGCGTCTGCCATCAAGATTCCAAATGTACTATTTGTATAAAGTGAGATATTAAAGTTGTTTCCTTCTGATACAACAGAGAATATGAAATGCTTTCTTTTCAAGGAATAATGTCTTATCTGTATCGTGAGAGCCATCTGTTCAGGAAGAGAGCTGCAAGAGCTGCAAAAAACTGAAAAGCAAAGATTAAAAAGCATAAGAAAAAGGCAGTCATGTTGTGTGTTTGTTCTTCAGCAACAATCCATCAGGGCTTTAATAGAGAGAGGCAGTGTGGGCACTGGGAATGTTCAGTTTAATACCTGAAGAACAGTTAACAAATCTTTACCACCTTTTGATTGTGATATGTATGTCTAAATTGCCACACTATCTAAATCCCTTTTTTGCTTTAGACATTGTATGAACCGAGCTTTTGGGTACACTGTCTTTTGAAACTCTGCTTAGGAAGTAATCCAAAACACCAACCAGAAATGGGTTATTGGAAGACTTACTGTCAAGTTAGAAGAAAATTGTCTTTGGCATGTTTGGTTCTTTGGGCAGCCTCTTGACACACTACATTACAGAGATAGGATTTATATTTTTGTTTGGCTGGTGGGTTGACGTATTCAAAAGGTCTGTTGTATGCACAAAAAACTTAATCTGGATCTAGATGATTGGGAGGTTTTCATTTGATTCTGAAAATTTTCCTTTAATCTCTCCCAAATTGAGAATATTTTGTTCATTATTAAGTGTTCTTATTAAGTAGACCCTTATATCTCCAGTATGCTTTCTTCTTCCACACTAAACATCTTAATTTTGGAGAAGAGTGTAGATCAACCTACATTAGCATATGTCACAAAGTGAAAGATGGAGATTTTTTAAACAGTCCATAAATTATGGAATAGAAATGAATGGCCATCAGATTGGAAACAATGGGGAGGAGCCATATCCTGTAAATAGATCATTTGTGTTGATGTGAGTTATATATTTCTCTCCCAGTTCTCTCTCTATATATATTTGATTTCTAATCCAAGGGTTTTCTGAAAGTTTTTAAAAAATCAAAAGCTTTCTTTGATCCATATAGGCACATACACACGGCCATTTGATGCTGATCAGTTATCTACAATATCTTCTAACAGCTTCGTTGGTGTTAGTTGACTCTGAAGTAGAATGTTCAGATTCTCCTGCATTTAGATCTTATGCATTTGTTTATTGGGGGAGCTTGGGAGATTTGATTTCACACAAGATGGAGAAGCAGAGAAATAGGAGGAAAAAGACACTTGGATTTCCTGCTCCCTCTCCCATCATTATTATTGCATCTAAAGTTAGTAAAATTCTCAAACAGATTTTCCCCACTTTTTCATAATCCACGGGGATACTGATCGGTGCTTATGATTTCTGAATATCAAACTGTGAGATAGTGTTTACCCCAGTATAAAACAGTGTGTAAATATGTGATGTTCGTATATATTGGATGAGAGGAGATGCTTGTCCCAGACCTAAAGGAAAAATTAGGACCAGAGAAAAGAAGGAGGGCAGAGAAATTCACACTGTTCTGATGCTTTCTCCTTCCTAACCGGTTCATTAACTGCATGAGATGAACCAGAGATGACCACTACCCTACCAGTAATAGATGCTTTCCAGATACTATTTTGGCAAATTACTTAAATATTTAATATTATGTAAGTTTTGCTAAAGTATCTTCAACAGTACTTATGATGGTAAGCATCAGCAGCTGATTAGCTCACCCACATTCTATTCTATTTGCATTTTCTCTGATAGCTCATTTGTATTTTCATCACAGTGTGTATGTGGCATTTTTTGTGGGGTGGGGTTTATATACAATCCAATATGGCAGTGGATTCCCCCCCTAAGTTTGTGAAATGCCCAGAGTATGTCAACTAAAAGATAAATAATCAATACGGAAGTGTTCAAAGTTTATTTAAGTTTAATAGTCCATAGGCCATACACCATAAAAAAATTAAGAGTTAAGAATAGTAAAACAAAAATTTGCCACATCCACGATGCAATTTTGGCAGAGGCTGCTCAGAAAGTAGTTTTAATCTTGCTGCATTAGGAAAAGATGAATATTTCAACAGCCATTTTCTTAGGAATCTGTCTCTTGCTGCTGCATGTTTTGGACAGTAGAAGAAAACATGATATGCCGAGTCAAGTTCTGTCACAGGGCAGTCACAATAGCGCTAGTCCAGAGGGGTCTTGAGAAACTGGCCCTACATCTGGGCTGTTGGAAACACATTGCAGTGTGCAATCATGTATGACCGTCTCAGTTTTGGAATGGTCAACATGTTTAAGTAAGGAGGCAGGTCACATTTGGTGGAATATGTAATTCCTAGATGAAGTGGGGAGCATTTCATCTAGCATCTGTTTGAAAAGCATCCCAATCATTTTGGAGCAATTTTTCTGTAAGTAAAGTTTTTCTTCTTTTGGTTAAGTTCTCTGTCTTCCGTAAGTCTAATTGTCTTGTTTTCGTATCTACAGCATCATTCCATTTTGACCAGCAATGTTCATGTTCTGTCAATATGGTAAAGGTTGGGAGGCTTTCAGTTTCTGTCTCTGCTTTGATACACACATTCTATCTGGAGGACTGTAACTGATAAGTGCAACGGGCTGATTTCCTCAAAACATCAGGGGGAGAATATTACAACCTGCAACTTTCCTGAAAGACCATCTCTCCTCTGATTAAAAAAAATACTGACTTGTGTGTGTGGTTGTCTTTGCCTTTTGGCAGATCAGATAACAAAAGAAGAGCTTGAGAATGTTTTGCGGAAGTTCACGGGGAGTATCATGCAAGTTCCTCCACTGTAAGTTTCTTCAGTGCTGTATGTAACCTTGAAAAGCCTGGTGGCAAAAGCTCACTTTACTGGCAGTGGAAAGTGTCCTATTTACAGCAAAATACTGGCAAGATGAGGCAGGCTTAAAGGTTTGTTAATTTGAAAGAGTCACAACTGAGTGTGCCATTGATTCGAACAGCATATGAATGGCTCTTTTTCCTTGTTAACCTATTTCAGGCATTTAGTCACCATAATCATAGGCTTTTTATCTCAACCTTGACACATAAAACAGGATCAGATGGCACTGCCAAATGTTAATGAGGCTTACACCAAAAGTAGAGGGTCTTATGGCAGTGCATATTGGAGGAGAGATGGACACAGGCCGACTTATAAATTGATTTCCAAAAGTCAAGGAGCAGGATGTGCTTGGCAGAAAAATGGGGCAAATGTCAGGCCTTCTCAGTGGATGCTCATCCTGTTACAGAACAGTGTGCAGCCAAGAGAAGAGATGGGAACATGGTAGGTGTCTTCCTTCAGGAATGAAATTACTTTAATTTTGTAAGTGTACTAAAATCCCTAGTATGACAAGGTGTGTAACATTCCTCAAGGAAGGAGGTGGGATTTATTAACAAATAAAGCATATCTGTGTTAGGTGATGTTGAGTACACCATTTTGCTCAAGAACATAAGAAGTGCTTTGCTGGATCAGAACAAGGTTTACCTAGTGCAGGATCCTTTGTAAAAATGTAAGCAGTAGGCAGGTGCTGAGTGGTCCTCCCAAAAAATTGGCCAGTGGCTCACCAGTAGATTCCAATCTACCTTCTGCCCACCATGTCCTATGCTTGCCTCTGATATAGTTGCTCAACCATGGCAAGGAACCTGAGCTGAGTGGCTATAAAAGGTTTCTCTCCAAGCACATACATTGTCTTTTTTCCATGCCCTTGAACCCTCTAAATAGGAGGGAAAGACTTGTTCCACAGGAACCGCAGGAATCCCAAATTCCAAGTGGATAGGTGCTCATAGATGCCAACATATTCCCCCTACCCCACCCCAGTAGGTCCCAACATAACAGTATGGAAGTTAAAATACTTAAAGACCAGGATTTATTCCCCTGTACTTACAAGTCACTTTCATGTCCCATTCTTATCCCATTGTTAGCTCTTGTGGTGTCAGAGGTCTGGAGCCCTTTTCAGTATCAAGAGGTTGTACACTTGGAGTAGTGAAAGCTGAAGAAAATATTTAATGTGTGATTAGGCAAGAGGTACAGACTCGTTCTCAAAGAGGTACCGTATTTTTCGGACCATAAGGTTCTCAAAGAGGTAACTCTAGAGATGCCAGTTAAGCAATGATACTATTGCAGAATAAATACCATTCATGATGTCATTTGTCCGTATTACGTACAATATCACTACATGCTTTGTACTAGTGACTTGACAAGGGGCTTCTGCGTATTCCATAATGGGTGTCTTTATATGGGGCTCTGCTTACTCTGACCACATAGTTAAGTATAAAAATGAAATTCTTTTTTGCTATTTGCCTTCTATTTTCCCCCCTCCCCAGAAAAAAAAAAGCTTTGAAGGCAGAGGCTTGCAGACAAGGGTAAAAGTGAAGGCTGGAACTTTTAACACTGGCTGTGGAGCAATAATTCTGAGAATAGGCACATGATAACATCCTTATAACTGTGAGAGCAGAGGAAGCCGGGCTTTGTAATTTGAGTTATCAGGCCCAAATTAATGCAAATGAAAGTTGAGCATGCCGGATAGGTATGCTAATCTTGTAACTTTTTATACCATTCAAGGCCCCTGGGGCTAAATTGGCTACAGTCTCAGAGTCAGCTAGCAGTGCTACGATAAGAATTCACCTAACGCTACAACATGAGCCCTTGACTCCCTCATAACTGGGGGTGAGGGAGTATTCTAGCATAGTTCTAGTTATGTCATCCTAGTAGTTTCTCTCAAAAAAACCCTCACACGTTCGCTATAAGTTGTCATCTGTACTGTTTTATATTTATCATCTGGCTTCTATATTATGCTTTTCTTTTGGCCAGTGTGAATCTCAATTACATTTAGTGTATTTCAAAATAGTTGAGGAAGTAAGATGGATTCTATAGTACATTAATTATTTTAAGGCATTTCAAGCTTGTGTTCTCATGAATCTTTTAATACTCACTTGCATGATTTCTGATCAGTTATTCTGCCCTGAAGAAGGATGGACAGAGGATGTCAGCACTGGTTACAAAAGGAGAGGCTGTGGAACCAAAGCCTGCCAGGCCAGTTATAGTGTACAGTCTTTCTCTCAGAAACTTCAAGCCACCCTTGTTCACACTTGGTAAGTTCAAAAGTGTTAGATGTTTGATGGCTTTGATATAGGGTTGCCTGGTCTGGGTTGGAAAATACCTGGAGACTCTGGGGGTGGATCCAGGAGGGGGGGGTTGGGGAGGGGAGGGCCTCAGCATGGTCCAATGCCATAGAGTCCACCCTTCAAAGCAGCCATTTTCTTCAGGGGAGCTAATCTCTGTCAGCTGGAGATCAATTGTAAAAGCGGGAGATCTCCAGGCCCCACCTGGAGGCTGGGAACCCGACTTTGATACTTCACTCTTTGTTTATTTGGATGTGGGTTGTATTAAATTGAACTATGTAGTGTTCCCTTTTCCAAGAATATACAAAATTCCATTTTTTTACATTTTATTTACAGAATTTATACCCCATCTTTCATCAAGGCTACCAAGGCAGCGAACAGATAAAAACATAATAATAGAACACATCTTAAAAACCAAACAAAACACATCAATCAAAACAAAACCAAATTAAAGTACACATACAATACAAGAAAGTACACCTACATAAAACAACATGATCACTGAGGGAATGCCAGACAAAACAAAAAAGCCTTAACCCTCTAGCAGAATATGACAACAGAAGGGAACAGACAAGTCTCTCTGAGGAGAGAGTTGCAGAGTTTTTATGCTGTGAATGAGAAGGCCCTCTCCAAGGTTGCTACCCACCTAATCTCAAAAGGCCAGGGGCACTCAAAGCAGAGCCTTGGAAGATGACCGTAGTGGTTGGGTAACTTCATAAGGGAGTAAGTGGTTCTTTAGGTATGCAGGTCCCAAGCTATGTAGAGCTTTAAAGATCAATACCAGCACCTTGAATTGTGCCTAGAAACAGATTGACAGCCAATGTAGATAGGCCAAGATAGGCGTGAGGTGTCCCTATGACCCACTCCAGTCAACACTCTGACCACAGTATACTATATTAACTGTAACTACTGGACAGTCTTCAAGAGCAGCCCCACATAGAGCACATTGCAGTAATCCACTCTAGATGTTACCTGGACATGCACCACAGTGGCCAGATCTTTTCTATCCAGTAAAGGCTGCAGCTGGCTCATCAGCTGAAATTGCCAAAAGGCACCTCTGGCCACTGTTCGATTTGTTTATCCAGCAGAAGGCCCGGGTCCAGAAGCAACCTCAAGCTACAAACCTGCTCTTTTATGGGGAATGTAACCCCATTCAGAATGGGATAGCCTATTTCCTGTGTCAGACCTTCCCTCCAGCTGTACCTCAATTTTGTTGGGATTAAGTTTTAGCTTGCTAGCTCTCATCCATTCTTAAATTGCCTCTAGGTACTTGTTCATGGTTTCCACAGCCTCCCTGGAATCTGCTAGTAGTGTCATCTGCATATTGGTAACAACCCAGCTCAAGTTTCCCAATGACCTCACCCATGGCTTCAGGTAGCTGTTGTATAGGGCACAAGATGGAGCCTTGTGGGGCTCCTGTCTCCAGATGACTTAACCTAAGAGTTTGAAAAGCCTAGGAGACAAGGTGGAGTCAGAGGCTGAGGGGCTGAGCAGCAGTGCTCCAGGACCACCTTTTGAAACCCGCTGTCCAAGGAGAACTGGAACCACTCCAAAATGGTACTTCCCAGTCCTGAAAGCAGTCCACAAGGATACCATGATCAATGGTACTGAAAGCCACTGAGAGGTCTAGGAGAACCAATAGAGTCACATTCCCTCTGTCTGTTTCCCAGCTCGGGTAATCCACTAGGGTGACCAAGGCCTTTTCAGTCCCATAAATCAGAGATCTGTCAGACTTCAAGGTATTCCAAGGCAAACTGGATTTGGCAGATCCATGTATGACATTGCAAAAATTGGCAAGTTCTTCTCAATCCCTTGGCTGAAACTGTTGTTTGTGCTCTGCATCTCTGTGGTGGAACGGTCCTGCTCTGATCCTGCAGGGCCTATTCCAGCATGCCCTCCAAGGTTTTCCCAACACCTGGATGTGCTCTGCATCTCTGTGGTGATCCTGCAGGGCCTATTCCAGCATGTCCTCCAAGGTTTTCCCAACACCTGGAGGGGCTTTTATCTCTCGTTCTGATCAACTGCCACCACCACCTGACCTTTGTAGGAATTGTCTACTGGGAGGGCCAGGACTCCCAGCTTCCTTTTCAAGTTCTGAGGCCTTGTATCTGTGTCTCCCACTATTCAGTGTCTGATTATTACGGGGACAGCTTATTGCCTTGTGCACCACTGGGAGAGTAGCCACTTGGCAACTGACTGACTCTTCCGTTTCTCCTTATGTTCCTTTTAAAATAGCATGTCCAGACAGTGGAGGTATAGAGAACCACTACCAGCATCAAAAATTGTAACATATTTATTAAAAAGAAAGTGTTCACAAGCATACTGTCAGCACAGCACCAGACTGAGCAAGGTATTCAAAAGAAAAGGGTAAAACGCAGTTCCTCTTTCTCTCCCTCTTAGATGTGCCCTTGTTGTTCAGTTGCACAGTCGAGTCCCTCCCGCAGACCACATTTAAGAGTTCTCTAACTTGATGGAATCAGCGCAAAAAAGGCCCTCCTTCCACAGACCACATTTAAGAGTTCTCTAACAATGGAATCAGCGCAAAAAAGGCCCTCCTTCTTGCTCCCAGGAGTTTTATCATTTCACTTTCTCCTCCCACTGACCAGATCATGCCGGGTCAAAGAAGCTTTTCCTGATGTCTCCAGGAGTTTCTTCCTGAAGATAGTACTTAATTCCTCCAAATCTCTCTTCGTTTGAGATATCACCTGTCTAGCTGGAGGTGGGGGAAGCTGGACCATGCCATTGTCTCTAGCTAGACATAAGCTTTTCTAAAAGGGTGGCTGAGATGTGGCTGGAAAGCAATTGTACTGACCTCCCCCCTGCTGCCTGTTCTCAGCCAAGAGAGAAAAACTTTTTAAAATGCAAAGTTCAAACCTCCAAAGAAAAATGCATTTCTTCACAATCTCTTGCCTTGGTTACTGCAGCCTTCTTCCTTCTGTCAAAAACTCTACTGCCAAAATAATTTTATTTCATTGCTCAGAGCAGGTCATGTGGTACCTCATCAGTAGTGATGCTGGGGTTTAATGACACGAATGAGTGCCCCCAAATATAGCCTTTTGATTTGGTGATGCTGTTCAGCTTCCTGTAGTCTACACAAAATCTTCTGTGGTCTGGCTTCAGCACCAAAACTACTTTACACTTTTTCTCACACCTTTCCTTGGAAACTGCATAAGTGAGGTCTACCCTCTTGTCCCTGGTTACATAAGGTTCTTCCCAGCTGGCTTTTAGTTCATTGGCTTTCACAGGTAAGAACGCAATTGCTAAATCCATGAACCACTTTCTGGTTTTCTCCATTCCCAAATGTTCTGAACAGGGAAGATCAGGTGGGATATCTACTGAACCTCTTCCCTGGTACTCAGACAGCCCTAATACCCATAAGGAGTAATTCAGGTGAAATCTATTAGCTGCCTCAAGTCCCATTTCTGAGAAAGGTGGGCTAAAAATGCTATTAATAAATACAAACCTTTAGTAATCCTGTTCCCTTGTACATGGTATGATGGAAGGCAGCATTACCCAAGCTGATGACCATTGACTCTTATTTCATGAGGTGGTTATATGAGTGACTGGAAGAACAGCTATAAAACGTGTGCATTTTTAGAGTGTTGCATAGTAGTAAGGCTGGCAATTAGCCATGGAGACTTTCACTTGCAGCCCCTTTAGTGCACTTTTGCATTACATACAAGCTGGATTTCAACGTGCTCTGCAATTTCAGTGACCACTTAATGTGTTGGATAACTTGCAGCCAATCATGATGGGTGTGGTAGAGACTTCGAGGTAGGTTTTAAAATGTCTCTAGTTTGACTGTCTGTGGTTGTGCACAGTCTTTAAAATGCACTCAGTACTTCATAGTGGGTTGTGGTTTTTTTTTTTTGCTAACACTTTAAAATAACCTTTTATTATCACCAGTAGATAGATCTTGACCTTCTATGGCATCTTTTTGAAACGAGGTGGCCCAAAGTACTTACTGAAATCCTGAAGCTGGTGGTTAATTTATAAGGTGAATTATAGTTGAGCTGGTGCCTCCCCCCCCCCATTTGCTCTTCTCTCTCCACCAGTTTCACAATCTCACCCACACATATGTTGCAGAATGAATAATTTATAATATAACCTATAAATATTTTAATCGCTCTATTGTTTGCTTAGTGCTCTTCTACATTTCTATGTAAAGTAGGGGGTTTTTTTGTACTGGGCTGGCAATTTTACTGTGTTCCTGTTAACATTCCAGATGTTGAATGTGGCGGTGGCTTTTATGTCAGAAGCCTGGTCAACGACATTGGCAGAGGTAGGCTCAGACAAAGCACAATTGCTCGTGGAGCCACGGTCTCTGTTTAATAAAGGGCTATTTTTGCTTTTGGTATCTCTGGCTGCCAGATGCATGCACTAGGGTGGCTGTGTGTTGTCTGTATTCTATATCACAGAAGGTACTTGGGTGAATAAATATAAAAGATTCTTGTGGGGAATATCGACAAAATGGTAATAAGGAACAGAATTGGGATGGGGAGGTAATACATATCATTCTGCAAGATTAACGGATTAGAAATGTAATTCAGATAATAAATTAGGGACATGGAGCAAGACAGAGTACCCTTTAAGGGGTATAATAAGTGACACGTTTAAATCATGATGCACAAAGCCTATGCTGAATATGGTATAACTGTCCAATTCAGGATCCCTCCCCCCTCCAATTTAGGATCAAGTGGTCATCTTTTCCTCTTGTTTTAAACTGTGATACAATTGCAGTACTTGCAAATGGCTGTACTTAACTAGGAAGGTACCTGATCATTGATAAATAAGCTTATTTATAAAAACTAAGCTAATTATTCTGCTCTGATCAACAGGGTGACCATAAGTGTACATGAGTATGGTAATGCTATACCATCTTCCTTCAGCCTTTCCTTAACTCGTGACCTGTATAGCTCACGTCATACATCAACCCAGTTCTTGGCAGTGGACTACAGCCATTTAATAGTACTTCATTCCTGCTTGTTGGTTTTCTAAGTTACAAAATATTTTAGGCTGTTCTTGTGATATAGAGTCAAAATTGCCAACTTCCACTGATGCCTGTCCATTTTCAAAGTACCTGGCACAATAGGCAATCTAGCTCCTATCTATGTTGCATTTTAGCATAGCAGGGAAGAGAACGCACATACCAAAGCAAGCAGTACTTGAGAGTACCTCATTGAACAGAGCATGACATGCAGTTCCTGGTAGCCTGATTTACATAAGTTGGAATGGTGTAAGAACTGTCTTCCTCTGATAATATCCCAGGCTTCTCTAGTAATCTATGTGGAGGGAAGCCATGTAGATCAGCTGACTGATATGGTTCTTTACTGTAATGGTTTTCTTCCTCTAATATTGTCCCAGGCTGCTCTGGTAGTCTGTGTGGATGTAGTTCAGCTGACTGATATGGTTCTGATATCGCAACAGTTTCCTCCTTGCCTAGCAGCCTGTGATATTGGTCTTGGAAACACTATAGTTGGTTGTCTGTGTGGTTCTGCAGATGTTACCAAAGTGGCATAGAACTGGACCTTCGTGACATGGCTTTCACATAGGGTTGCCAGGTCCAACTCAGGAAATACCTGGGGACTTCGGGGGTGGAGCCTGGAAAATTTCCCATTCCCTAAAATAAATAAATAAATACAGCAGTGCAGTTCTCCTGAATACAGTCTTAATTTCCTCAAAGGGTTCCCCAGCAGCTGTACTTCCACTAAATGTAATTTGTCATACCCCCACACGTCCCTTGTCAGACTTGGGTAGCATTTCCAAGCATGACTTTAGTAAGGGACACAACTCAAATTGCAGCCAAAATAAACAATGAATCCTTTCCCAAATACAAACAGTTTGCAAGCCCAGAGTTTTGTGATCTCACTGGGGCAATGGTATAAATTGCTTTACTCATGGGAGTTGCTGAATGTAACAACCTGCATTATTTCAACCAACTTCTTCAGACTAACAGAAGAACAAAAGTAAGTAAGAGAGCAGTCTAGGGGGTGGAGTTTTCATCCATCCCATAATTAGTACAAAACTTCTGAAACAAATGCAAAACGGGGACTGTGCTCTCTTCCTCTCTCACACACTTCACACACTCACTGGGAAAAACCACATGGCTTGTGTCTGCTCACCCCCCCCTGCAGCTTTCGTCCTGCCAAGATTTAAAGGCACATCATGGCTGTTGGGATGGGGCTTCTCCTGCCGGCCGGCTGGGCAGCAGTGGGGAGGAGCCTGCAAAATTGGGGGATCCCCCACCCAGACCTGGGGGCTGGCAAGCCTACTTTCACACCATTCTGAATGTATATTTTCACCATATGGCATTCACTTGCCCTGTCTGTAGAGAGATAGTAGCAGCAATGGGCCAAATACAACCAAGGAAGTTATGGGTGGATGGCTAAAATGATGTGTCTCCCTTTTATATACATGAGGCCTTTAAAAAAAAAAAGCATCATGATTGTAGCCAGGAGTGTTGACTTCTGCATAAATTGTGCCTTTGGAATAATGGCCAGATGGCAAGGTATGTATTGTTGTGTGTAACTGTCTCCTGGTTTTTTTAGGGAAGAAGGAGTGTGAGGGTGAGCCACATTTTGTTTGTTTGTTGTTTAACCAGGTGAGAGCTGGGTTTTGTGTGTGCAGATTACTCAGATTCAAGTGAGAGTTAGGTCTGGATTTGTGTTTGCTTTATGTTTCTGTGGTATGTATATTAAGTGTAGATATGTCTTTATTTTTTTCTCCTTTGCCTGCTGGTGGGAGAGATGGCCTTGGGAGGGACAGAGCAGGGTGAGAGGGTTGCCATGATTCATAGTGTGTGGGGTAGGGGGGAGATACGGTAGTGGGAGAAGAGCAGGTCAGGTAAGGAGAAGGGACAGCAGACATGTGCTGTTGCTCCTTCTGACTCTTCTTTCAGCCAGAGTGATGTTGGTAACAACCTGCCAGGCTATAAAATCCTGCTGCTAAATGCTAGATCAGTCACAGGAAAAAATAGCAGCCATCCAAGATTTAATCCTGGATGAGAGGGCTGACCTGGCATGTATCACTGAGACTTGGCTAGGGGAAGGGGCAGGGGATAACTTCTCTCAGTTGTGCCCTCCAGGGTACTTGGTGATACATCAGCATAGATCTGGCAGGCAGGGAGGTACTATTGCTGTAGTATATAAGAATTCTGTCCCCCTGCCATGATGCCCTATCCAGAACCTTATTGGTTTTGAGGCTGTGTGTGTACCTAATGTTGGGACTGAGGGACAAGACTGGGATTGTGCTCTGTGTGAGGCTGTCCTTGAAAAGTGTTCAGAAAATTCAGTTTGTACAGAACTGGAGTGGGTCGGGAGGGACCATATCACTCCAATCTTGGCCCACCTACACTGGCTTTCAGTTTGTTTCTGGGCACAATTCAAGATGCTCATCTTGACCTTCAAAGCCATATATGGTTTGGGACCAGCATGCTTGAAGGAATGCCTGCTCTCTTATGAACCTGCCCAACCATTACAGTCACCTTTGGAAGCCCTGCTTCAGGTGCCCCCACCTTCTGAGATTAGGTGGGTGGCAGCCCCGGAGAGGGCCTTCTTGGTCATGGCACCAAAGCTCTGGAACTCTCTCCCCAGGGAGATTGATTTGTCCCGTTCTGTTGCCATCTTCCACCAGCAAGTGAAGACCTTTTTTGTTTAGTTTGCCATTTCCTCAGTGATCCCTCCTGCCTAACCAGTGTATTATGTTTTGTATGTGTTCTGTTTTTAACTCTTTTTAAAGTTTTTTAATGAGGTATGTTCGGGGGAAGGGTTTATTTTAATGGTTTTAAAATGTATTTTATCATGTATATTTTAAATTGTTAGCCGCCTTGGTGGCCCTTGTAGGGGCAGAAAGGCAGGATATAGATTTTATAAATAAACAAACAAATAAAGTTTGCAATAAAAAACAGGTAGTCCCCAAACCCTGCCCTCCCCAAGCTCTACCCTCAAATCTCCAGGAATTTCTCATTCTGTAGTTGTCAACCCTAAAATAGTCACAGTGTATCTGTTTAAAGAGATGCCATCTACATAATATTCTGTAGTAGCAAAATTGTACTTGAAGTGGTTTTAAAATAGTATGTTCTAGCTTGCCATAACATGTTTTATTCCCTTGGGATGCTAACTCAAATTCTGTGAAATATTATTTGCCATTTTCTACATTTGATTTTTCTTCCTCTTTTCTCCCCCCTCCCCCATGCTGTAGAGCTCTCATCCTGTGCCTCTGTTCAGGAGCTGACCCGAACAAAACAGGGACCGTTTACCTTGGAAGAACATGCTCTTTATGAAGACAAATGGACAATTGATGAAATTGCCCGATCCCTGGAGCATTGCATGCCTCTTCTCTCTGTAGAACCATCTCGTAAAAAATTAAAGACAGAGCTGTCTGAAGAACACACTGTGAGCTGTGAAGATAAGTGATAAGTCAGGTCAAGGAAAAAGACTGAATGACTGAGACGTTTTAAGATTGCTGTGGGATTGTCTTGTCTCCCCCTGTAAATTTACAGTCCTGTGTATGGAGGATGACAAATTACAATGCATTGAAAATGATAGCTTTCTATCTTTTCTGTTCATGCTGAAACAAACACAAGAAAATGTCCAGCATTTTTTATTTCCTCTTGTATCTCTAGGTTGCATTGTAAATGTATTTGTCAGGGAAGCAAGACTCCTTGCTGCACCCTTGAAAAGAGTTTACAGGATACTTTTTTTTTACTTCAATTCTTTGTTTACCGGAAGTCATTTTGAGCTTTGCTAAATGGGTCCAGTAGAAAAGAGCAAGAGTCCAGTAGCATCTTAAAGACTAACAAAATATGTGGCAGGGGATGAGCTTTCATGAGTCACTGCCTTTCATGACCTTTCATAAGTCACTGAATTTTGAGATGCCCACTGCCATAGTGATGAGCAGCAAGAGTTACACAGTTCATGGAGGGACAGATCTGTTGGCCATTGTGGTAAAACAGAAGGCTCCATTTTCCTTGGGTGAGGAAAGTTCCATAGCGGTCAAGGTTGCAAATCCCCATACCTTAACGAGGAGTCTGTCCTTTTCCAGTCATTTCCCTCCATCACCACCTAACAAAAGAATTCCAACCAACTGCTTTCTCTAATGCTTCATTGCCATGCCTGTCTCACAGCAAAGAAGGGTGTAAGCAGTTTCATTCCCACAGCCAGACTTGAAACTAGATTGAAAAGTGCGTAGATAATCAGCAGAGAGGCAGCCACCACTTTGCAAACCTAACCAGCCACTCCTGTAATGTTGCTTTCAATATAAAAATCAGAGCACAGCAGATGGGAGTGATTTAATCTGCTGAGCGCTTTGTGAGCATGTCAATGAGCACCCAAGAGTTCCAATGAGCTGTGTAACCTCACCCTGTTGAAACTCTCCGACAAATAGTGCTCTAACTTTTCTGAACTGATTTTAAGAGATTTGGAGAGTGAACTAGTATTTCTTCTGCATTTTTTGCCACAATATACTTGCAAGGAGTGAGGATATGAGTCACCTGAAGGGAGTTTTGTCCCAGCCTCTGCAGGTACTGTTTTAAAACCCAGAGCTTGCTGGGGGCATGAGCTGAAGCGTTTGGTTGTTTCGGCCCTAAGAGTTTGGGGGGATAATCCTGAAAGTCTATCCCTTGGAGCCACAGATTTAATCCTCCTTGCTCTGGTGCACCAGCACCCTCGTCACAAAATGTCCCTCTAACTCAGTCCATTATATGAGAGTCTGAAGGACAGAGGATCATAAGCTAGCAGGACAAACTGTATTTATTGTTAAAACAGTCGAACAAAAGCATTATCAGTCAAATCAAATTACTACTGAACTTGAGAGGCTAAATGACAAGTCTTCTTAATTAACTGAGAAAAGGATGGGTCCTGCAGGAAT